AAAACGCTTGATAAGTATATGAATGATAAGGTCTGGATTTAAGATTTTTTAATAGAATTATTTTAATTTAGTTTAAACAGCCGAGATGAACCAATAGGTTCCATGTTCTATAAGTAGATATGGTAAAGTCATGTACTACACGTTATCTGTAACAGCTTCGGTGAAGTCGTGCTATGTATTACCCATAACAGTTCTGAGAAATTTATGCTAATCACAGATGACATACAAACAAGTTCATGCAGTATCTAATTAACAGTCATAGCATTTTGAAATCCTACATCTCTTTCTTTTTTTATATTTTCAGTTGAAGCATAAAAGTTTGCAACAGCCTTTATGACAGAGTTCCTTAGTAGAAAACTTTCCCACAATTCAAGTCCTGTAACTTTAATACTACCGTAAAGTGGTTGTGACGTATTATTAAGCCAAACTGAATTAATAACAACTTACTTACCTGTTGTACCTCATACTGCCTATCTGTACGAGATGATCTTGCTAGGATTACTTTGTGTTCTACAATTTCTAACCAGCGGATGATGGTTTCCACTACAATCACATACTGTAACTCAATTTGATCCTGATTCCGAGTTACCACTGAAGATCGTAGTGCAGTTAGGTTGTTGTCTACTTCTGATGACAATGTCTCACTGTTAGGTAACTCAGCTACTGGCCACATCTGTAACATCAGTTTCACAATAAATATCACAAAGATTTTGGTTTCATTCATTAAATCATATTTGATTTATTCAAAACCAGTGAGAAGAAAAACTTTACACAGGTTAATTGCACTTTACTGGAATGATGTCTTTATTGTCCTTGGTACTATTTCTCCATCATTAATCCTGCTCAGCCTGATGACCTCCATTCTTCATTACTGTAGCATGCTTCTATGAAGGTCAGTGATGCCCTTGAATATATTTCCCTCATTTCATTCCAGTTTATTTGGTTATCTTCCCTATAAAAACAGCCAATGATTTCTAAGTAAAGCATGTGAGCTTTTATTAACTTCAAACTCCAGGAGATATGTTCAGTTTTATCACAATAGCTGTTTGAGCTAGAGGGTTTTCTCTCATGCTATTGTGACAAGTCTTGCTCCATAATGGCTTGAAATGTGTTTCATCACGATAGCTGTTTGAGCTAGAGGGTTTTCTTTCATGCTATTGTGACAAGTCTTGCTCCATAATGAATTGTAGCCTTAAACACCCATCTATGTCCATTAAAACTATGAAATGTTGGCTTTTACAATGATTAGTAATCTAGTTAGTATCCTCACTAGGAAAAGGATAAAACTTATTCCTCCAACCATAAGCCTATTCTGTGAGCATTGTACTGTCTAAATACATTACTCCTTCATCAGTGGTGACATTCTAATATTAATACAGATAATTCATATAAAATGCAATTAACCTGTTTTATCTGTTGTTCCTCTTGTACATATATTTATATCCTGCCAGCTACAATTAAAGAACAGTAATTCTAACAATAGGCCCGGCATGGCCAGGTGGTTAGGGCGTTCGACTTGTAATCTGAGGGTCGCGGGTTCGAATCCCCATCACAACAAACATGCCAACCTCTGCCTTTGCCTGGTCCCAAGTCCAGGATGAGAAAGGAGGAGGGTTGGGTGCAGGGCTAGCAACTCCACCCCGTAAAAACCAACCTGCTGCAAGTAACTGCAACAAGAACTTCCGTTGGGAGCTGTTGTTGTGGCCCTATGCTCCACTTGGAGTTTACAGGAATAAAAAATAAAAATTCTAACAATAATGTCCCCTCTGTATCTATTGTTTATCTTTTACATACATTTATATCCTGCCAGCTACAATTA